TATTATGATTTCAAGTTGCCAGTACTGTGAATTCTGTTCTTAACTTGTCAGACGGACAAGTGAGGTCTTTTGGGGAATCCAATTTACAGAAGAACTGTAATCAATACTTATCCAGGGCTGTCATAAAGAGGCAGGGGCCGGGGATTTCCCCCAGCTACCAAGAATGTGGCCCCCGAGTACCTTCATTGGAAAATAGAAGAAAAATAGAACCAAAAGAAATTCCCTTGCTGTTTGATTCCCAACCTACTTGTTGTATTTATGTGGCTACTTGAAATCTTAGTGACAGCCCTGCTTATCTTTTTTTTTTTTCGGGCTAGATGAAAAGACTTTTTGGCTGGTACATGGTAGGTACAGCTTGCCCGAACAGCAAGCTGTAAAACTGACTTTCTTTGCATCCTGTGGTGGGTTGTATTTCACAGGTTTACCATAGACATTCAGAATGTTATTGAACAAGCAGAAGTTGTTGGAATCAAGCAAATGATTCTTACAGGGAATACCCTTCAGATGAGTCAGTCAGCTGTCACTCAGGCTAAGGCACATCCCACAGTACTTTATGCCTCTATAGGAGTGCATCCTCATTTTACAGAAAAGGAATGGAATGAAAAAACAGCAAAAGAGATTGAAGAATTAGCCAAGGATCCTGTTGTTGTGGCCATTGGTGAAGTTGGATTGGACTTTCATAGGAATTACTCCCAAGAAAAAGCACAGATAGAGGCATTCACAAAGCAGGTAAGCTAATCAGTACCCCTGGGCTTGTTTCTTGAACCGCTTGGTTCAGCTTGGTTCTTGAATCACTCTCCCGTGATCAGTTCTTGGAAGATTAGCGCTGATAATAAATTTAATCCACAGTTTTGTTTGCCTTCCTACAGTCTCTTATCTCAACGTTGTTTAGGCTCTAGTAACATGTTCCTGGACAATAAACTTTGCTTAAAAGTGGGCTTTACCATGTGGGTCAAACATGAACTTGACTATCTGTCAAGTAACTGGGCCCTGTATTTTGTAATAGAAGAGGGTAGTATCAATGAATAACAGCATGTTGAAATTCACGTGAATAAAGTTGCTCTGCGAAGTAAGAACCAACAAGGCCCAAATTCCCATTAATCTGAATACTCAGGGTTGTCAGAAAGTTTTGAAATAGACGGCTGAGTTGTCAAAGTAAGCAGCCAGTCCAGGGATATTTTATTAAAAAACGCCATCCATAAAGAAATGCCAAGCAGAGTAGCTGGCTGATACTGACCAAGTAGGCGGCAATTTTCACCGGCAGCCAGCTACTTTTGAAAACCCTGATACTTGACAATAATTTCTGCTAGGTGTTGTTATTAAATGATGCTTACCTGAAATCCAAGAAAATACGTATTCTTGCATAGGAGTAATATAGAATGAATCAAATCCCAATTCTTTACATTAGTCTGAGTGGTAGAATATCTCTGCAGTCAAGTGATTGGTGAAATGATCATCCTCTTGTTCTTTTCTCTTTGTAATATTAGGTTGAGATTGCTTGTGAAGTTCAGAAACCGCTCTTGGCTCATGAGAGAGCTTCCCATCAGAAGTTCATTGAAGTTTTGAGCCAGTTTAGTGGCAGATTACCTTCTATTGTGATCCACTGTTTTACTGGCAGTGTTTCTGAAATGAGCGCTTATGTTGCAATGGGGTTTTACATTGGAATTTGTGGATTTATTTGTAAAGGTAAGTGTTAAATAACTGTTGACTTGTTTAGGTTCATCAAGTGTTGCCTTCAAAATGTATACCAAAAAGTTTCCGTGAACAAGATATACTAAGTAATGAAGTATTTTGTTAACCCTTGAAGCCCCAATATCCACATACAAATTCTCCATACTGATCTTCATGGACATTTCCTTAGAGATAAGTTGAGAGAGTTTAATAAACGATCGAAGCATTTTCTCTTTGGTGATCATTTGATTTATTCTCGTAACCATTTCTCTTGACAACGTATGGATATTGTTAGGAGAAAACTGTCGTTGGGCACTATTGGGACAAATTTGCCCTTAACCTGCAAGTAAAGGGTAATGTTTGTAGGTTGGTTTTTAGTGTCAGTCAGAGAATTGCATCAGAGAATGCATCTCACACCAGGGTAAGATGTGTCTGGTTAAAGTAAAGCAGACTAGTTTGTATACTGAAAGTTTTGTATTCAGTTCACTTTATAAGGTGGAACTTGTAGCAAAACTTAATGATGTTTGTTTCTTCCTTCAGAAAACCCAGGCAAAGCTTTGCGCGATGCTCTCAAGGAGGGTGTCCTCCCATTGGATAGAATTCTTCTGGAAAGTGATGCACCTTACATGACGCCAAACGCCCCTGAAAAGGACCTAGATGATGTTTGTAAGTCACTACTAAAAAGATGCCAACCAGGGCGTAATGAACCTTGTACTCTGCCTATAGTAGCTCACACTGTTGCCAAATGCCTTGGAATTGACGCAGAGGAAGTAGCGCGTGTCTCAGCAGATAATGCAAAGAGGGTGTTTGATTTGAAGCCTCCTGTAACCCCTGTCTCACAGCCAGCTCCTCAAGCTACCAAAGACACTGAATAAGAAATGTCAACTTACCCATAATGTAAAGGCTAGATTTTATTGTTGTCATAGACAGTGGTGGATGTTGTGCTTCCTGTTCCTTGTACTCCAGTATTTTTAGCTACTGACGTTGTTTTAGCTAATTTCTCTTGTGCTAATAGCCCGGGGGCTAATAGCCCATTTCTCATCCAGAGTACCTCAAACATTTTAGGGGCCCATTTCTTAAAAGTTCCTGTAACTTTATGGGCCTGAAATAAACTATTCAGATCAAAATATACCTAAGAAACCAGTACATTTTGTTTTGTTTACAATGTAAATGACAACATCTTTTCAGGCCCATTAATTATCGGAACTTTCAAGAAATGGGCCCCAGGTCCTTAGATTTACCTTAAAATGACGTTCCAAACCAACAAAGTTTGAGGTTTGGATTAAAACACTGTGCATGTAATATAACTCTGGATTACAAATTTATAAGGGTTGTTGAGAAACAGGCAGTAGGCTTTCATTTGGCTTTGTTCAATGTTGCCTCCCAAAATAGCTTGACTGCTGATTATGCTGGATTTGGGAAATTTGGAAACAGTGTCTCTTGCCCAAAAATTACTGGAATAAATGACCCGATTTTTATGATTTTGTTAATATTGCTTCTAGTTAAAAGATGCCTAAGAACGCAGGTATCAGTTTCAGCATTTTGAGAAGACTAAAATTCAAGCAGTGCAAATGGACACGTTTTCCTATAAAGTATTTGCAAAATTGATCAGGACCCAGTTGTACAAAAGGTGGATAATACTGTCCTCTGGATAAATCTCTATCCAGTGAATAGAGCAAATTGATAGTGATTTATCCGGCAGACAGCGTTATCCAATGTTTGAACACCTGTTGCCATGGCAGCTGGCACTAGTTTGTTGTTCATTGCACTGATACATGACCAAACATTCACATGTTATGGACTGCAAACGTAATGAGATGAAAATCAGATTTCAGCGAATGATGCTGTAGTTATACCTTTGAAAATGTTTGACCAAAGATACTTTTAGATTGTTAAAAAAATATTACTGTATGTGACTGTTAAAAATTATCTATCAAAGTTTAGGAAAAATATATGTACTTTTTTTAATGTTGCCTCTTTCCTTATTAAAAGCATATAATCTACCTACACAAATGAATGGCCATCTGATTTTATTTTGAAAAGGATTTCAGCTGACTGCAAGGTTTATGGCCTAGAGTACTGTGTATTTATTATACCCTTATGGCTTTAGTATCTGTTATTGTTTAGCAAGAGAGCAGTCATTTCTATATTTCCTGTAGGCAATGATGGTATTTGTCTCTGGGGGTCAACTCGCCTTCTCTGTGCGTGTGGCACTTCTGCAACTTGAGACATTTTGACTGTTTGAAATGTTAGGCTGGTTAAGACAATCCATGAGAGTTAGAAATGAAGGAAACCGGACACAAACAAAATTGTAGTACCCATGAAATTAGTATAAATTTTAAGGAGACGTAACCTTTCCCCTGCCTTGCGATTTAAGTAGGCTGATTCAGTTGAGGCATTCCAGTGTTTTTGGCACTTTTGCTTTCGCGGATCTTTGCGCATGGCATACCCACTGTATCCCCAGATGGTTAAGCTTTCCTGAATGCTAGTTTCTGAAGGTAAACGGTCACGGAAGGTTGAGGACTAACCCAAACTATCTGAATAACAGCCTCTCGTTTAGTGTGGAGTTTCATCTTCTTGTTAAAGTGTACTTCCATTTAGCATTCTGTACGTGGCTGTCTTACCACATTGGCTTCAGGAGTTAAAGAGATGCGTAACTTTAAAACCGTCAGCCTCAAACAGGATGCAAAACTAAGACAACAAGGTCACGACAAGGAGCAACGCTTTAATTTGTGATTCAGGGAGCAGATGGCAGGATTAACTGTTATCGCTGTTCAGCCTGTTACACTTCACGTCAAACGAATGGAAAGTGGCAACATTATAATTGGATTGTAATATTGAAAGAGATTTCTAGTGTTGTGTCAGTTTTTTTACTGCAAAACCACTGTTGTTATAAAACTATTTGCCATTCAACTTTGTTTACGATGGATCGGCCCGCGATGACACCGAGGAAAAATCACCCGTGGGAAAAAAACCTCCTATACAAAGGGGCTCGCTTGAAAAACGCGAAAAAGACTGATGAAGACTGTTCTGCAGGCTGTTAAAATCAGACAAGCTGGAGCTCAGACAACAGTTGACTTATTTGTTTCTTTAAAGAAAGCAAGAAAACGGCTTCATTGTGCACAAAGTTCTTTGGCTCAAAAGTTGATAGCCACAAAAAACAGCCGTCATTTCGCCATGCCAACACTAGTTTCCCCGCCAAAAAAAGAAAACCAGTTGTGGCATCGCGAAATGACGGCTGTTTTCTCAGGCTAAAAATTTGACAGTTTTAGTTATGATTAAAGACATTAAAGATTTTAATCTTTAAAACCGCTTATCTTCACTTAAGACTCCCAACTCCTTAGTTGCGAAAAATGCTTACTATTGCTCGAAACGTTTTAAACAGTGTCATTTTCAGAAGTTTTTATTTATTGAGCAGTTTTCATTCCACAATTCGGATGTGTTAGTTTCTCTCAACAATTATCACAAATGTCCTCAAACAGTTAATGAGGCAAACAGATATAACGAAAGTCTCAAGGAGTTTGGAAACTCCTGGTGAACGTCAATGGAAGTTTTTTGCCTTGGTGTCGTTTCTTGTGACTGACATGGGGCCAGGGGGAAAGGCCACCACCCTTTCCCCTCCCCATTGAGTTCTCTAGAAATGTTCCATAGGGCGTGGAATGGTCACATTCAGCTGTGCCGGTGAATTGATGGTAAAACCCTGTCAAAACATTAGAAAGAGATCATTCTTAATGAAAGCTGTTAAACAGATCCAACATCGAACAGGCCTTTCCCTGTTAGCAGAGAAAAGTTTTAACTCAATTAAACCTGATCCAACAACGTCCAAAAATGGAAGCAGAATAAGAGAAATAGAAATTAGAAATTAAGAGACAGTAAAACCGCACTATTTTCCTTTCTTCATTTTTGACTATATAGGCTCTGAATAACTATCTGATATTTTGTTTTTTCAAGACGTTGTTCACGAAAACATAAAACTTGGTTGTGGATAACATGCTAAACTGTTTCTACTCAATTAGAAGACGCAAAACGGTTTTTTCTCTTTATATTCGCTTTTGTGTCCTGAGTATGGTTGCTCCAGTGAGATCAATCCAGTTTAGAGAAAAAGTCTATTGGTTGACACTCCCAATTTTCACTTATAAGAAGCGTTTTTTTTTTTCCTGGTTTGTTTCTTAATATCTTTCTAATGAATTTTGGGCTATCATTAATGCAAAATAGTTGAAACAGCCTACCCGAGTGCGGGTAACAGGAAAATTTCCGACCATGTGAGGCTGTTCAGCTATTGGAATCATCATCCCAGAGCTAGAAGGGCTGGAAACCCGAGGAGAAGCCATTGAAACGGAGGATGGGTTACTAGGATTAAAACTTCGCATCTCCATCCGTGGGGTACAGTACATGAAACCATAATAATGGGACACCGGTAGACTTGTCATGGGTGCAGCGCCATCTGCTGGGAGGAGTCGAGGTTGTTTCCTGGGTGAATTAGCAGAACTGTGATTCACAACTGGAACTTCTCTTAAGCTGACTGCTTCGAGATTGGCTACAGGAAATTGTGGATGTTCTGGAAACGGAAAATCAATTTCCTCGTTAATTGTACGGTTTTAGAAAGTTTAATACTTTTGTGTCATCCTGGAGATTGGATTTAAAGGAGAGACAAGGCATCACTTGCATTGCCAAACAATTGGCGCATACCTTTATGGAAGACCTTTTTCATCTAAATTAGCTTAAAAAACTGGAAGAAGTTTGAAACACCCAAAAGCATCCTGACAACATTTTTTGAAAGGCCTTTCCACGAAATGTGAACTTAAAATTAGGTGAAACTGAGTTTAGTTTTTTTGCAAGGCTAATTTTCAGAAGCCAAATCTATGATTATCGACAGGTTTTGACGTACGAATTATCATTTGTAAGTTGCTTAACCTTTTTTCTCGCAGATCATTGGCCTTTTTTTCAGTTACATTCCACCTTTATTTGACACATTTTTGCTTCACTTCGCTGTTCCGTAACTTTCCTAAAAGTCCACTTGAACGGCTACTTTTTTCTTTTTTTCCAAATTTGATCTTAACCAAAGTTTGCTGAAATTATGCCAATAGCTTTGATAACTAAGTAAAATGAGGAAAATTCTCGATCCTCGATCTTACCTTTTCTTTGTGTAATTGTAGTCGGCAAGGGATTGCTGATCAAACCTTCACCATCGTTCTTCTTATCCGTACCAACCACCTTCTTTGATGACCTTTTCTTCTTGGAAGATTTTCCGCCAGATTCTGTTTGTTCTCGGTCAGGTTTTACAACCATAAGCCTTCTTTGCACAATCAAAATGCAATGCTTGCAGGTACACAACCTAAACTTGCAAACATTTCGGTGACCTTTCAGCTGAACATTATAGATTCCATGATTGCGACAACGGGTGCACGTTGGAGCTTTGCGGTTAGAAGCGGCTGGGATGTGAGAACTAGAATGCGAAAGCATAGTTCAGCACTTGCGGTAATAGCAAAATGGGCAATCTTATCAATTTCGTGTTGGAGAAATTGACGGGAAATGAATCAGCCCACTGCAATAATGGTTTGACCTTGGGATAAATCCGCCCACTGGCCACATGTACATGTGGCATCTTGAACTTTGATTGGCAGCTAATTATGGAAGCTTCTGATTGGAAGACTCTCGATAAATCTCGACAGCATCGTAGCATCGTAACATTTTGGTTGTTTTCCATTTTAAATATACATAGGTAAACAGGTCAGTTCGTGGTTTTGAAAAATGATAAAAAAACATTCACGACTGGTGAGTTAAATTTGGAAAATTTCTTTAAAACGACGCAAATAGTCTTGTTAGTCTTGTTCTATTTATTCATTTCCAACCGGATTCTACTGACTGTTTATGAAAATGATTGTAAACAACAGTTGTTTTCCAGAAAATCCTTTGTAAACTTTTTTAAATAGTTTAGTTTGAAATATTAGAGAGAGTCTTTCAAGAAGTAAAAAGCCATGCATATGCACGTCCAGTTTCTGATATCAAACAAAAAAAGGATTCATCCCATCCAACGAATAAATATATTAATTGTCTGCGTTTAATAATATTTAAATGAGTCATGTAGTACCGTTAGAAAAATATACAAATTCCACTGATATCAGTGAACCATGTGAACTAATGAATGACGTATTCTGTTTTTATAAACAACTCAGTCTTTATAATGGTAATNGACAGCATCGTAGCATCGTAACATTTTGGTTGTTTTCCATTTTAAATATACATAGGTAAACAGGTCAGTTCGTGGTTTTGAAAAATGATAAAAAAACATTCACGACTGGTGAGTTAAATTTGGAAAATTTCTTTAAAACGACGCAAATAGTCTTGTTAGTCTTGTTCTATTTATTCATTTCCAACCGGATTCTACTGACTGTTTATGAAAATGATTGTAAACAACAGTTGTTTTCCAGAAAATCCTTTGTAAACTTTTTTAAATAGTTTAGTTTGAAATATTAGAGAGAGTCTTTCAAGAAGTAAAAAGCCATGCATATGCACGTCCAGTTTCTGATATCAAACAAAAAAAGGATTCATCCCATCCAACGAATAAATATATTAATTGTCTGCGTTTAATAATATTTAAATGAGTCATGTAGTACCGTTAGAAAAATATACAAATTCCACTGACATCAGTGAACCATGTGAACTAATGAATGACGTATTCTGTTTTTATAAACAACTCAGTCTTTATAATGGTAATAGGACTGAATGGAGTCCAATATAAAACTATTTCACTGAATCTGCGAAAATTAAATAATAAGTAGATAATAATACGTAAATAATTCGGCCTGTATTAAAACGTATGCGAGAGTCCGATTTGTTTAAATGACGAGTATGATTACAGGCCGAATTGAACGACACGAAATTCTGTCACCAATTAATCATACTAACTAAGTTCAAAATGAAAAAAATGAGATATTCCGCGCGTTTTTTGCTGGCAGTGAAAAAAAGACCATTCAAGTGCGCGCGTGCGATGGCGCGTACAGTGAAATTACTTTGGCATGACGTGTCCTGTCCGATTACGAGTAGGAACGATTTAAACTCCCTTTCAAGTAACACATATGCTCCGCAACACTAAGGTTCTTTTAAACATTGTTTTAACATTGTTCGATTATATGATGGACGTAGCGGATAAATAATTCACAGACAATCAATTTAATCTAAAGGCCAGATCGAGGAGAGTTATGATAAAAACAAACACTTCTCTCCCATAGAAAATCGTACAAATTATAACGTAAAAGTATGTGTTATACTAAAAAATTATGCTTGTCTGGAGAGAATAATAAACACCGTTCTGTTTAACTCAGATCCCCCTGCTTGGTCTTCAGAAACCAGCAACAACCTCGTTCCCAGGGCTTTACCTTTAAAAAAAATGGGAGGGACCTGAGCCGGACCAGCCGCTGCTAAGCAAGGCCTTTTCTCGGTTAGCAATTAGGTAACATCAGCTTAAGCCAGATTGTTTCTTTCACTAAAATTACATGAATAACACAAACAGAACTCTGATGCTTTGAACCCGAGTCATTTGCTTCATATGAGCCTACCCCGTCGAGGACCAGCTGCCAAATCCAGTAATTTTAAATCCCATTACAATATTTGAAAGCCAACCATTTTCAGATCCGTGCTCAACCCTAATAACTGCAGATCAGTGTTTAACTCTCTGGTATGTTCTCACATTACTGATCCTTGGTCTTTCTCAACAACTTTCTCGTGGCATTACGTTTAGAGAATAATGCGTTATGTAGGCTTCATAAGGTGTCCAAGCTGTCTTCACCCGATGTTATCTTTTCCCAGCCCACTTACATTTCGAGGGGACGAAGTTGAACCAGCTGGTGTTGACTAAATTTGGAAGACGTTTTCGATATCCTATAAAATAACGTCAATACTACAGGCTATCCTATCGTCAGCAAAAGGCACGGCAAACGACGGAGACGTCCCGGAGACAAGGGTACGTTCCTGCGTTAGCTCAATTATTTTTGTAGAGCTGAAGAAAATTGAGAAAAATTTGTAAAAAGCTTTAACTAACTTCTGTAAACTGGGCTTTCGTATGATCTGAATAATTATGCAAATCTAGGAGGGTGTTTCTCTTGGCCGGTCAGAGCCTAAAGAACTCTAACCTCGACCTGAGGTTTTCTAGTTCATTGCTCTTTCACTTTGCTGATCATCACTTCCGCTAAAACTTCCGTGTTTAGTATATTGCTGGTTTACTCTGTTGAAGAGCGTCTAAGATTTTCCTTCACTGACATCTTCACGCGTTTTTGACGGTATGAACACTTTAATTTCTTACCGATGAGAGTGTAATTAGCTCTCAGTCCTTAACTGAAACTTTATGTAATGGATGATGTAAATGTAGCTGAAATGTCTTGAAACCGTGCGGAAATGTCCTCTTGAAAAAGGTTAGGGGTCTATGCAAAATTCCGCTGATTCTCAAATTATTGGCGATCAGAGCATTTTGCTTTTTCCTGTCGGGGTCTCCGGAAGTGAAAATATCCTCGAATCACGAACTTGTCAATTAACTTTCTAAGGTTGATAAATAAGCCTTCATTCAGGTCACAGTGCCCAAGCGGGTTATTGGGCATCAGCCGAAGGAAAACGCACTCCAGAGAATGAAAACGCGGAAAATTTGTCACATAGACGCTGTTCCGATCAAAGCTACTTAAGGCTCTGGAGTTATCTATCTATCTTTTTGGTGTTTTTTATTTGATTTCTGGATTTTTGAAACTGGGATGTGGTCCCCGCCTGAGTCTTGGAGTCGTGCAGCCATTAGCTACCTAGACCATCACCGTTGCACAAAGTACACGGAAAGTAGCTGTATTGACTGTCCTGATCATGTTTCCTCCGCACCTTAAGAATTGAAGCTTTTAAGCTTTATTTTTGTTGTTGTTTGCTTTTTAAAACACCGTATAAATGCAACAGATGTATTAATCAATATGCTAAAACAGAATTTTCTCAAGGTTGAGTAAGTGTTTTGTCTCTTTTAAGAGACTACCAGAGGATTTATTCCGCTACTGGTTCGCGAATCGTCGAGACTTCAATGGTGACAGATTATACTTTAGATGCATATCCCAATAAGGTTTTGCGTACAGATATGAAACAGCTCCTCCCTTTAATCCATTTGATTCGGATTCCTATGACTTCCATCTCTCCCCCAACATATATAAGCAAGCCCGCCCATACAAATTCGAAGAAAACTGAATAATTTTGACTAAATTATCTGTTGATTGATCGATCAACAGATTTGAAGGGCAAAAGACTGATGTGATCTTCAGTTTGGCATTAAACGCGGTGACGTGAAAATACAATAAATTACAATTATTGAATGTCGTGATAACAATTTATGCCGAAATGATGCGGTTACAAGAGTAATCTGGCATTACAGTTCATCATTCTGGACTGATCTCTGCAGTTGCTCCTCAGACGTCAATTCGCGGGGACTCCAGCGGTGCCGTCAGCTGTTTTATCGTAGAGTTGGCATAACAGACAGAGTCCACCTCGCTGTGAAATAAGCGTAAAAAGAGAGACAAAAAATTGTCTTTATGTCAATGGACTCATCATCGCTGACTGCACCTGTACGTAGTGCTTTGTCATAGCAGTTCGCGGAAACCGATTAAAGAGATTCATTTAAAAGGCACTGCCATTTGAAGTCGCCACAGTCAATGAAATCACGGCTAACCGCTCTCAGAATTAATCAAGACCAAGAAAATAAACAAAAGCAGAATTCAGGACCGTAGCGTCCATGTACGCACATACGCCCGTGCGTTCACGTACAGCTAAAATAAAGAAAAAAGCATTCTTTTCATCATTTAATCGGATGACTGGTACATTTTTCGCACTATTGTGGTGTCTTTGTGTTAACATTTCCTTACCTGTTATTATTCCATAATTCTGAAGGGTTTCAGTGGCTTTTTCTTTTCCCGGAAACACTGTACCTTACCGACAACACTAGAGATGAGTGAAATAAACAACCAACTACTGCATTTTCCTACGTATTACAAGTAGACTAATGTGCTGAAAATGTCCTGCGGAAAAAACGCTGGAAATGGCATTTCGGATACCCTAAATTTAAAAATTTTCTGGGGGAGCACATCTACACAAACGTATCTCACCTCATCTATACACATGACGTGCCTCAACCACCTCTACACAAACGTGCCTCAAAAAAATAACCAAAGTAAGAATATGTTTAACCAATATAACTGATCACTTACCCGTTTTCTATACAGTGGTAAACCGGCTTCCTTTGTGCCAAGAAACACAACATTTCAGAGATTTTTGTGATCTTGTGGCTATTGACAACCTGGTCGATGAATTAATCAAAGTGTGAATAACGTAATCAATGCGCTACAATCCTTATCTGCATGTTAAACATGCTCTTGTACGTAAACTATCAAACAGAAAAAGAAAACGGTCAGCTAAACCCTTGATATGTAACGCCATTCTGAATTCTATAAAACATAGATTAAAACTCTTTAAAAGTCATTTCCTTAGTAATGATCCTGATAAAGCAACCTATTATAAATCTTATAACAACAAATTAAATAGAATTAAAGATGTAGCCAA